CTTTCCATTGTATACATTAACTACTATCCCATAGCATCTACCAAGCCTTCCTACGAATTCATTGGCTGGATAGACGAAACAGTGAATGGTCCAATTCCATGGCCTTGTCCAATATTTTGAACATGTGGTGCATGTTCCAAATTGCTGGTCTGTTCGACCATAGGTTCTGATGAGATAGGTGCTTGCATAGGATGTGTTATCATATTATTCTCTAGATTAGGTACTTCTACTTCTCCTTCCACACCTTCTTTCAGGCGTTCATTTTTTCCTTGTCTCCTACGTCTAGCCATGTTTGAGTCCCACTGGGTGTGCCAAAAATATATTTTTAAGCTTGCCGGCAAGGATCAATTAGTCCTTACAGAATATCAATTGCCAACCAATTATCAGACGATTGTGTTTTAGTTCTTTTCAGTCTCAATGAAGAGGACTTTTATTGGTGGCTTGTTTAAGAGAATTTAGTAAATAACAACAAGTGAAGAACAATTTTAGAATTTGAATTTCACTAAGTGAATAAAAACTTACAATGATCTGACCCAGCCTCGTAGAGGTATATAGCAACAAGCTATTTGAAACTACTCCTAGGAAACGAAGTGCAGTACAGGAATTGATGTGCTGAAATATAAAGAACTGTAAAAACTAGAAGGAAAAATGAAGTAAATTAACTGGTTTTTTATCTGAGTCTGAATCCTTCATTCTGGGGCCTTCTCTCTATTTATACTTTCCCATGGTAACCGTCGAAGTGGGCTTTCCATCGTCGAACAGTCCTCCTATGATTGCTGAGCATGCTCTCTTACAGTCAGTCCCACTATGCCATTCTTGCAGTTAGGCTTCCCTCCTGATTTTGAATTTACATTTATGAATAATCGTTAGGCCACGCCATCTTGTATTTTTCCACTGATCCAGTATTACGCAGATCCATGATTACCAATGCTAACTAGCACGTGTCTGATTTCGATTGAAGACTTGAATTAACTCCCCATATTGTCCTCATCTCGCCATGTGTTAAGCTGTGATTGGCCTATACAAAATATGTAGCCAACATTACCCCCCGCACTAATATACCCAATACTTGGTGATATTAGTGGATCAAGGCATTTTACCCACGTCCTAGGACGTTCATGGGCTTTACATCGTCTTAGAAATGCAACCGTCGTCCATCATTGAGTACAGGAGTAACTCTTTATGCCTTAGTATATGGACATGATGCAGTGTTGCCTGTAGAAATTAACATTAAGTCTTTGAGGTTAAAATGCCAGGATCAGTTAACTTCTAAGCAATACCATCAAAGCATGTTTTTGGAATTAGAGAGTATAGATGAAGCTCGAATTCTTGCATTAAACAATATTCTGTTCCAAAAGAAAAAGGCAGCCAAGAGCTACAATAAGAAGGTTAAGCATATTAGCTTTGATGAAGGTGATTTAGTGTGAAAAACAATACTCCTAATAGGAATTAAAAACCATAAATTTGGTAATTGGTCACCTAATTAGGAAGGACCATATCAAGTCCTTAGAATTTTACCTGGGGGAGCATACCATTTGAGAAATCTAAATGGTTATGTACACTCTAAGAAAATCAATGGCAGTTATTTGAAGCCTTATTATCCAATTGTGTGGGAAACACAAGGAGTGTGAGAAATGCTAAGTCAAAATAAACACAAGAAGCATCAAAACACTTAAACAATAAATAAGGATTTCATTTCATATAAAGTTGAGTACATGCAGCCATGAATTGGCCCAAAAATCAGTATAATGTTTCAGTTGTAATCTCACTCTTAGGTAGTTCTTAGTTCTCAATCTTCACTTATCTTCTGCTTCCATTGTGATTGTTACTAAAATTACACTTCATATACTTTGTCTTAGTTTTACTTAGCCTAAATCCTTTAGATTCAAATGCTTTTCTCTAAATCTCCAACTTAATATTAACTCCTTCTCTAGTCTCATTCACTAATACGATATCATCTGCAAAAAGCATACACTAACACATCATCTTGAATATCACACGCTAACTCATCCATAACTAAAGTAAAAAGATAATGACTTAAGGTTGATCCTTGGTATAACCCTACAGAAACTGGAAATTCACTCGTCTCTCCAGCAGACGATCTAATAGTGGTCACCACACCTTCATACGTATCCCTAATCACATTAATGTAACCTTTTATCACCTCTTTCTTCTCTAACATCCACCATATTATATCCCGATGCACTCTATCATATGCTTTCTCAATATCAATAAAAACCATACCAATGTCTCTTTTCTTTTCTCTATATTTTTTTATTACTCTCCTCAAAAGATAGATCGCTTCCATTATTGACCTACTAGGCATAATCCCAAACTGATTCTCTGACGCCTCTGTTATATCTCGCAATTGACGTTCCATCACTCTCTCCCACACTTTCATTGTGTGACACATGAACTTGATTCCTCTATAGTTGTTACAATTCCGAACATCTTCTTTATTCTTATATATTGGCACTAAAATACTCTTCTTTCACTCTTCTGGCATTTTTCTAGTAAACAAAATTTTGCTAAATAACCTAGTTAACCAAACAACCCCCTTCTCACCCAAACATTTCCACGCCTAAATATGTATATCATCGGGTCCTAAAGCTTATTCAATTTCATCTTCTTAAGTGCAAACTCTACTTTAAAGTCCCTAATCCTACGATAGAACTTATAGTCCTGATTTTTCTTATTACTGCCTACTTCCTCCCTTTTTGACTTACCTTCATGTTCCTCATTTAACAACTTCTAAAAGTAGTTCTTCCACCTCTCCTTAATCTCTTCATCATTCACCAACACCTTAGAATCCTCACCCTTGATGCATTTAATCTGATTAAAATATCTTGTTTTCCTCTCTCTTATCTTAGCCAGTTTGTATATCATCTTATCTCTCTTCTTACTATCTAGTCTAGTGTATAGGTCATTATAAGTTTTCAACTTAGTCTCCCTCATTACTTTTTTGACCTCTTTATTGGCCAATATGTAGCGCTTAGGCTACGTTTGTTTGCCGGATTAGGTTGGATGAGATTATTAGTAAGAGGATTGTTAATGAAGAGATTGCTAATGTGTGGATTGTTAGTGAGGGAATTAAGTAAAAGTGTGTTTGTTTTGATGATAGTGTGGGGAGATAATTAGTGATGGGATTGTTAAATTATTTTTGTATAAAATAAATAAATAAATTATTTCTATATTAAAAAAACTAAAACAAATAGGTGCACTTGGTAAAAAATAAATAAATAAATAAATTTTTTATATAAAATAGACTCAATCCCCTCACTATTTTCCTAATCCCACCTAAAATTCACCCAAGGTAACCCCCCTACATAGGGGGATTACTAAGCCCCCTTCACTACTAATCCTATGACATTTTGTTGCATCCAAACAAGGGTTTGATGGGTCCCATGAGTTGGTAATCCAATCCACCCTCCCAAACCCCCAATCAAACATGGCCTTAAGGTTTTCCTCAATTTTATCCTCCTACCACTTTTTAAATCTCTTTTTTTCGTCTTTATTACCGCTTGGACCTCCTTCCTCCACCACCAAGTTTCCCTAAAGTTGGGTCATTTTCCTTTCAACTCTCTAAGAACTTACCTTGAGATTCTCCTTATACAATTGGCCATCGAGTTCCAGATAGTGGTGGCATCATCTTCCAAGTTCCAAGTATCTTCTTTATCTATTCTATTCTTAAATGTGTCTAGTTTATCCCTTTTTAGATCCCGCCATCTAATTCTGCGATGCCCACTATCTTTCCGAGTTTGGTATTGCCCTTTACAGCATAAATCTAGTACCAAAATCCTATGTTGAGACGTCAAGCTCTCTCCAAGAATGACCTTATAGTCGCTGCATTTTAGACGGTCTCATTTTCTAACTAGAAAGTAATCTATTTGGCTCTTAATTGACTTATTGTTGAAGGTTATGAAATGCTCTTATCTCTTCTTATACATAATATTGGCCACCACTAGGTTAGAAGCCAACGCAAAATCTAAAATACTCTCTCCAGCTTCATTTCTATCACCAAAATCATACCCACCATGCACCCTCTCATACCCTAGTTTGTCTACTCCTACATGGTGATTGAAATCATCACCTATAATTAGATTCTCTCCTACGGGTATCTCCTGTAATACCTCATCCATTTGGTTCTAAAAAACTCTTTTAGTCTGATCATCTAATCCTACTTGGAGAGCATATGCACTAATAACGTTCACTATATTCTCTCCAATAATCAGTTTAACTAACATAATCCTATCATCTTTCCTAATGACCGTTACTACATTTTCTACAAGACTCTTGTCAACTATTATTCCTAGCATACTCCTATGTCTACCGCAACTACCTTTCCTAATAACGATCATTTTACATATCTATAAAGAGAAGTTAGCGTGTGTTTTAGTCCACAAATTACGTGGGGATTATAATGTTATTTCCAAATGAGGGTAATCCGCACATGACCCAAACCATAGGGGGTAAAGTAAAAGTTTGCCATTTAATTAAAATATATCTAATTATTCTATAAACCAGAGTATCATGTCACATTACTTTCCCTAATATTCCAAACTGATCAAGTAGTAAAATTTTTTACAAATAGAACATGTTATCTCATTTTTTTTAGGTACTTAAAAATAAAATTGACCCATTTAATATATGTTACAGTTTTCATGGTCAGGAATTTCATATAAAAGTCATATGGTACTTTGAAAATATTTAATAATTTTAACATTAGCAATTTTTGGTATAAAAAATTTGAAATTTTCATTAAAGTAAGATTTGAGCTCAAAGACACAAAAGTATTTTATTATTTCCCAAAGCCGGTCAATTTTGGAGACTTGTTGGTTGTTCTACATGGCCAAACCGTCCTTTATACTAATATGCAACCCTATAAATAGTGCTACTATCTTTGTTCTTCATGTACCGAATCTCCTTGTTTAACATTTTCTTGAGCTTAACAGATTCTATTTAACTTTTTTTTCTAAAAGAAGAAGAAAAAGAGCTCTTTGATGGCTTTCAAGCATGTTTTCTTGATCATCTTGGCTGTTATTTTTCCAATTGTTGTCTCTGGTAAGGACTTCATAGTCGGAGATGAGACCGGATGGACCATAAATTTTGATTATGTAGCATGGGCACAAGGAAAGGATTTCCGGGTTGGAGACAAACTTGGTATATATTTCAAATTTTTGGATTAAATTCTTATATATATATATATATATATATATATTGCATAAATATGATAATTTTTAACCGTTGTTTCCAATCAAATTATGCAGTTTTTCAATATCCAATTGGAGTTCATAATGTCTTCAAGGTTAATGCAACTGGCTTTATGAATTGCATCGTGCCACCGTTGTCACAAGCTCTAACTTCAGGTAATGACACGATTGTGCTTGCAACTCCCGGAAAAAAGTGGTACATTTGTGGTGTTGCCCAGCATTGTGCTCTCGGGGACCAAAAGCTAGTCATCACCGTGAACTCCGAATCAATGGCTCCGAGTGTTGCTCCTTCTCCATCTCGAGCCTTGCCTTACACGTACTACAACAAAATTTGCCTATTACCACATTTTTAGGCAACTTTTTTTGAAAAACGCTATGGAAGACCTAAAGTGAAGTTACGACACGCGTGTTCCACCTTATAACGGTGCTCCGTCTCCTTTGTCCCCATTTCTCTTTCTGTCATATTGTTTTCTCTCTCCATTTTTCACTATTGTTTTCTCTCTCCGTCCTAGATCTAGGGTTTTCTCTGTCTCCTCATGTAACGCCCTCAAAATTAACCCATTATATATCATCGACATGCATTATTTAAAGAAGACATTTTATTAATTCATTCATCAGAGTATTACTAAATACTCGAATAAAATGCCCTACAGGCTTACATCTTTCCAAGCCAACACTTGGATACAAAAATACGAGTTCTAACTCAATACAAGAAAAGCCCTAGGCTTGAGTGTTTACATGTACTAACAAATAAAAGCAAACAACAGAAAAATAGTCCTCAGAATCCAAGTCCTTCCAAGCTAAGTCCTTGGAGGTAGCTTATCCCCTGAACCTGAAAATGATGTTCCCATAAAGGGTGAGCCACAGCCCAGTAGAAATATACTAAACCACATATAAGTAACGAATAAAGCAATAGCATTTAACAGATTGTTAACCAGGATAATCAATTACTTCATTTTACAGTCTCATGACACTATTGTCTAAGATACGTTTTACTTCCCAGTTTTATCAACATGGCTCAGAACCTGGCCAAACTTACAACAGTGAATTACATATATCGTATTCACATCCTTCCAATATCAACAAACAAATGAGACTCAAGCTCAAATAAATCAAAACACTTCAGACTTCCAGATTGATACACATTTTAGTGCTGTATCAATAAAACACTTCTATATAAATAAGCACACATAAAAGTGATGCTAATGGAGTCCATCCCCTATCTCCTCCCAAACAAAATCCGGTTAGAGGTCCATCCCCTATCTTCCCCTAAACCGTGGAGTACATCCCCTATCTCCTCCAACACAAAACAATGTATGCAAATGCAATGCTCAATCAATACACATATTCTCTATCAATGCAATAGTCAAAATTTATGACTTAACCAATGTGATTAGTTTCAATTATTCCTAATCCACATGCAATGTCTACAACAATCACGACTATCCTCCACCGATAGCCCAAAACAGTTATTTCTAAAATGAAAATAACTATGTCCACAATTCAATAGACAAATGATACAAATTATCCAATTATGCCATTTAATCAATGAATTCCATGAATTTAATCATCTTTTCCCAATTCCATGAATTACTTATACAAATCAATTCAATAATTCAACTAGGGTTTTTCCCAAAATTTACCAAAGTATTCCCAACATATTAAAATACCAAAACTTAGAACGTAACCTATAAATTGGAGTAGGAAATCCCTACCTCAGAGAAAACAACCCAAATGGTGAAGACAGAGATGAGTGCCCAAAGACCAAAATGCTCCAAATTGCCAAATGTTCAGATTAAATGAAAGCTCTCGACTCCCTCTATCTTTTTAATAAAGCAACTAGGGTTGAAACACTCTCTAAACAGATCAAACCTAAGAGAGAAGGTGAGTAGGGAGAGAGAGAGGTCGAACCTAGGGTTTGGAATCAAAAGAATATGAAAAAGACTGATCAAATCCCGTTGCTGTGTATTTAAACTGGACAGGCTCGCTCGAGCGAAGACTTGGTCGCTCGAGCGACCAGACACAGAGAATCTACGCTCGAGCCAAAGAAGCCTTGCTCGAGCCAACAACCCAAAAGCTCGCTCGAGCGAAAGAAAGCTCGATCGAGTGAAGAACTCAAACCCTCAGGTCTGAAACCAGACTCACGCTCGAGCGACGGAACAATTGCTCGAGCGAAGAACAAACTAACTCGCTCGAGCGAAGAAAAGCTCGCTCGAGCCAAGAATGCAAAGCTACAGGTCCAACCCAGACGCAAACTCTCGCTCGAGCTACCAAACCCCAGCTCGAGCGAAGAACCAAAACAACATCTCGCTCGAGCGACAAACTCCTCGCTCGAGCGAATAACCAAAATTCTGGACAGCAACACTTGGTTTCTAAACCCAACCAACCTGAACAAACCTGCCCAACACATCCTATAATTCCAAAAGAGAAAATAAGGAACAACAACAACAACAATTATACAATGACAGAATCTACGGAACAGTCCGGATACAATAATCAAATGGGAAAAGACCGGGGTCGCTATACCTCATGCTCCTTGAAAGGTTCACCCGGGTTGATTCCGATCACTTGTTCAGATCTAATTCTAAATCCATCGATTCTTGCATCAATTTGATTGAAATTTCTTGATGGTTTTTTTGTTTTCCTTGATTCTGATTCTGATGATTTTACAGAGGAAAATGGTTCGGTTAAGTTGCACAAATCAGCGGGGGTTACAAGACCGAGGAGTAAAGAAGGATCAAGATCATCGGGATCGAGATAGGGACTGGGACTGGGACCGAGACCGAGACCGATCGAGTCGGAGCAAGAGGAAACCAGCTTGATGAAATGATAGGTTATTCCAAGAAAAGCTCGAGCGCGATGGCGTTGGATGCACTCTACCTGTCGAAGCTCCTCCTCAGCTCTGGCCCTCCCGTCGCTACCATCCCTCAAGTCTTCTCTCTCTCTCTCTCTCTCTCTCTCTATTGCTCCATCAGATCTTCGTTCTGGCCTCTCTTTAGTGGAATTTTACTTCTTTTAATCTTTTCACTTGCTATTTTTGGTCTGCTCTCTTTTCAATAGAATCACATTCACTTTGATCTTTTTGCTTTTATAACTTCCAACTATTATCATCTGAAGAACATCTCTGGTATCAATGATTTACTAATATTTACGACTTTACTGTATTGATCTATACTCAAACCCAGGTTCAATTAGGCACATGAAGACATTGATGGTTGATCGGGATTTAAGTGTCAAATTTTGGTTATAGTTGAGAATTTCCTGTAATTTTTTTTTCATGTTGATGTATTTAGATTCAAAATCAGCTAAGAATCTATTTTCATAATTTTCATTTGGTCTCTAATATTTACATAAAATTGACTCCAATTGCAAGCTTAAATATCAGATCTGTTAATAGTTTAAATCAAATTGGGATGTGTAACACTTCTTTGCAGTAATTATGAAGGATGCTTGTTTCTGTTTGAGGGGAATTCAAATCCATCTAATAATGCCAGTAGTATTTATGAAGTTGACAATTTTGTAGAATTATATAATTGAGAGAGAGAATGTTGGGAGGAGGTACACAGAAAAGCTTGAGGAAGGCACTTGGAGCTATTAAGGATTCCACCATTGTCAATTTGGCCAAAGTAAATAGTGATTACAAGGTATTTTCTATTGGGATCCTCAGTATGGTTCTGGCAATGATGGATGGTTTTGGACCTTCTTGAATGGGTTTTGGAATTGTAGGAGTTGGATATTGCAATTGTTAAGTCCACAAATCATGTTGAGCGCCGAGCGAAAGAAAAACACATAAGAGGTTGGTAATTTCTATCGAGATAGAGATGGCTTTTTTTCTTTTCTTTTTTTTGATTTGCTTGCTCCTTTGTTCATATTTGTTCCATTTTGTGCTTATCAATTTTTAATATGCTTTAAAATGGGTTGTGATGGACAATTTTTGTTTTCCCTTGCAGCTATTTTTGCTGCTATTTCAGCTACGAGGCCTCGAGCGGATGTAGCTTATTGCATACATGCTTTGGCTAGACAATTATCAAAGACATATAATTGGGCGGTATGTGTTCAAGAAAATCATATTTTTATAATGGAAACTTATCCTATGGAGCACATTTTTGTTCTAAAGTAACTGCAACTAATCAAAGTTACAATTTAAAGTGGTTTCAGGGTTTAATCTAAGAAATATATAGTGATCGTCAGATTTACAAGTGCATGCAATATTTCTTTATGTTTTAAGTGAATAAGATTTAGCGAGTGGAGAGTAAGTTGAAGTAACACTTCTTCTACTTTATGCTTTTTAGTATTTTTTCCTCACTCAAGTACTAGTGCTAAGTATTTTAAGATGTGGGACAAATTGAATATATGAAATATAATATTATTTTTATTAAAATATCTTAATGGTTTTTTTTGTTTGTTTGTTTGCAGTGGAGTATATGAGTTTGCCTGCGAGTCAGTACTCTGTGTTGGATGCAGAGAGTATTGAGAGAGTTGACAATAGCACCTTCAGGTGTTACGTATACAATTTCAAGTTCTTTGCTGTTGAAGTGTGCCCTGTTTTGTTGGTTAGAGTTGAAGAAAAACCAAATGGTTTTTGTATCAAGCTCTTCTCCTGCAAGGTTAATGATTTTGCTCTGTTTTTTGTGTTCAAACTTCAATGTTATGTGTCCTTTTCTCCTAATGATTACTTTGTTTTTTTGTTTTGTTTTTGTTTTTGTGTTTTTTTCCCTTGTATTTTGTTTATGGCAGCTTGAAGGTTCACCAATTGTGGTTGCACAGAATGAGAAGATTGATGGTAAGAAGTTCATTCAAATTCTCTTTGTTTGCTGCAAAATGGTACAATTGGATTGTATAAGCAGTGACTGGATTAGACAGTAATGTTTGATCTACTTTGATAAGATTTTTGTTTGTGGTGGGGTTTAATCTGCTTCAGTCTGATCTGTTGGGAACAACACCATAATTGCTAGAATCATTTTTTTTTTTAATGTTCAAGTCTGTTGATTACATAGTTTTGTTTGAAATATCCTCTTCAAAAATGGGGCAAAAAGGTTCTTATTGATCTGAAATAGTAAATTATGCTTTAAATATTTGGACAATGCATGACCTCACTTCTTACAAGCTAGTTTACAATTTGATGAATTTATTGCAACAAGGATAACATGTACTCCTGCAACCAATACTGGTCATATTTTGAGTTTTGTCACACCAGTTTTCTCATTTTGTGTAGTTGTTATTATTTGTCATAAATTATTGAATAAGATTTATGCAAAGTTTAAAACCGATAATCGTGTGAATCGTATTGAATCACAATGAATCGTAAATTGAATCTTGCGATTTACTCAATTTCCGATTCAACACCATGATTCGAATCGTATGAATTGAATCATGAATCGTACGATTCTTTTAACCATTCAGCCCATATTTCCAAAATAAATTTCAAACCAATGATAAAGTTTATTAACTTTAATAATTGAAATTATAAACTTTTCCAACACTTTGTAATTTTTTTTTTTGGTCTTCCAACTGATTCATAATTTCCTTAAATTTTTAAGAATGCTGTGCAACATTTAAAGGCGTGCTTGCCAGCATAACTGCTTCCTAGTGATGAAAAGTGAATAGGTGCAAAAAGTATGTTCAAGGGAAGTTTGTTTGACATCGAGAATCATAAAATAGTACTGTTTTATTAATGCCATGTAACCTTTTTACTTATAACATTTCCAAATAATCCAGACTACCCAAAATTATGTACTCTGTTCAGGGGAAGTTTGTTTGACATCGAGAATCATATTTTAGTGGAATGTTGCACTTTATTTTTAGCTTAAATTTTTTGGTTCTGAGTTGAATTATGAAATGCTTTTTTTTTCAGGAGTGCTTTGACACTGATTTTGTGTGGGCATGCAGCTTCTATGGTGAATAGAGTATCATGCGATAGGAAACAAAGCGACTCCTCGGTGGCTGAACTCACTTCAGATATAGTTATTGAGGTAATTGCTAATTGGCTTCTCTTCTAGCTGTGACATTTCATTTTGGAAGTTATTTTTATTTTTTGCAAAATTTCTTTTGTTGTCATGTGAATTCCAGGTCAGCATTGAGATTCCTTTTGCATTTCGACCAATTCCCGTGCAAGCCATTGAATCAACCGGCACTCAAGTACTAGAACAAATATTGAAGATTATGCTTCCTTGCTTTATGGCACAAGTTTGTGATTTAGATATTTTCCCCCTTTAAATCATATTCAAGATGAAACTTGGTTCTTAGGAAATTTTGTCTTTACCTCACAAATTTGAATTTCTTTAGTCAATTTAAGTTACACGTGGTTAAATGAATGTTGCAATTTGTCTCATATTTATATGATAAGCTGATTATGTTGAATTATATATATGCTCTATAAGCCCACTTGATTAAGTCATTTGCCACATAAAAATAGGATGGTTAGTCTTGTGAGCTTGACAGGTTTCGTTTGACACCATTTCACAATAAACACAAATTGTATTTCATTTTCTGTGTTATAATAGACTTTTTCCACAGGTACTATTGGGTATCACACTTCCTGAATTAGATATGTTGGACACTTCTAAGGATGTTGAGTATAATAGGTGCACTGTTGGAATTTTTTTCCTCATAAGTTTGTCTTAACAAATGAACCGGCATACACTATGTGATAGAACACAAATAATGCTTATGTTGGAGCTAGCAATTTCATATTATCATAATGTTGAATGAACAAAAAAAAATGCCACAAGATTATGGCATTCTGTTTTTTAGGCAATTTCTCTGCCCATTGACATACATTTTCAGAGGTTAAGCTGGGATAGTTTAGTTTGTAGCTCCCATTAATCTGGCTAATTCTTGTTTGTGCAATTGATGATTTTGGATCAAATGAAATGTTTGCAAGGTAAGTAGGGATCAGACAATTAACGGAATGTGAATTTTACGAATCTGGGTGTTAAAATGAGGGGAAAATGAAGCATGGGTTCTTTTTATCTGCTTGTTTACATACTAACTTTTAGAGTAAATTATGTTAATTTCTGATATAAATATATGAAAAGCTTATTGGCGTGTGTGGTTCAAGAGTGAGGTTAGGGCCTCTGAGGTTGATTTCTGATATAAATCTATATTTTTTCAATTATATATTTATTGGGTGTATTGAAGTGTAATGCTTTCTTGTATCATTGCAGAGCCAACATGATGAGTTGGAGGCAAAGTTTTTCGAGGAGAGAGCATCCTTTGAAGCTAAATTGCAGAGCATACTCCATATTAATTTTTTTTTATTAAAATGAGAATATTAGCAATTTTTATTTTTATTTTTTTGTATTAACATAATGTGATTTAAGGTTTTTATTTTTGGTTATGGAAAATTGGAATACTGACTCACATTATGGTATATGTTTTGAAAATGGTGATGGATTATAGGTTGGTTGTTCTTCTTTTTTTTTGTGGGACAAGGTTTTTTTTGTTTTTTGACGAAAAAGGTTTTCTTTGAACAGAAGTTAAAACATCGTAGTTTTGATTTTTTTGGGAAAAAAAAGTAAAGGTGGCATTTTTATAAAACGTCGCAAAATGACGTCATAATTACGTCATGGTTAACTCCTCTGAGTCAGAAATAGTTAACGGATGTAAAGAATTGGTGACGCTTAAAAAACGTCGTCTAAAGTCTAAACGCCGCAACGATGACGGCGGCCGTATCATCGACGAATTTTTGAAATGTCGTCTTATCTTTTTGCGGCGTTTTTATGGCCTTTTGCAAATGGGATCGTTGTGAATGTGTTTCAGTCAATCGTGGCAGTGGTGATGGTCGCAATTATGTTCATTTTGGTGGCTTAATTTTTATTGCTCTTCGAATGATAAAGTAAATTTCCATTGTCGTTTTGTTTCTCAATTCATCAACCCAATTCATCTTTATCTCATGTTTTCGCCAGATTTATTATAGCACTTCAAGAGCAATTCAGCCTGTTTTGTACTACTAGAATAAGAAAAAAGTTAAATAAACATTTTATGCTACTTCTTGAGCAATGTCAGTGTCTTGTAGAATTACAATTGAAATTGAAAATCATCTTCAAGTCGTTTTAGGTAGTAGATATGCATTTTAAGTTTAACCATATCTTCATGGCAATGGAAATAATTCGGCAGTTCAAGGTAGACAAGTGACTGCATAATGAGAAAATTATTTAGTAGTTATGATGTAATAATACTCCTTACTAATGAGGCCATACAAAAAAGGAGGGATTAGGCGACCTAATCTCTCACTCAATTGATCAATGAGCGTGAACTCGACGACTCCATTCATTTTGTGATTACTGTCTTATTCATTATCAAATATAATTACTTACGAAATTTATCAAGTACTTACATGTGTTATTAAATAGAGTCAACCTAGCAAATTAATCTTGAAATTAAGTCTTTTCCCCCCTTTAGTTTGAGTGATTTTTTTTTTTTCTGCAAAGAAAATTTATATTAGATGAGGTAAAGATACAAAAAGTTTGATTTTGAAAGCAGGGGGATGGAATCAATCTCCAAACCCAATACCCTAACAAAACCATCACACATGGGTTGGCAAGGAGCCAAACCCAAGAATTCAAAGCTAAAATGTTAAACACCTCATCTGCAAAACTAAAGACACAAAGAAGACCCAAGAATTCATGCCCATCACAACACAGAGTTTTCCTTCATTTCTTTTTCACCTTCAAAGTTCGGACACCCTCAATTCTATGCAAGAAGTCAGTAATGGTGAACCATCTCTAATTTTTTATTTTAGTTTGAGTGATTTTGAGAGAATAAAGATAAAAAAGATCATTGCATCCAACTTGTTTGAAGTTAATAAGAGAGCATAGGAGGGGAGGAAAGTGGAGGAAAGTGGAGGAAAATAAAAGTATTTCCTTTTATCTCTTGGCACATTTATGTTTATTTATTTATTTTAAAAATTGTAACTAACTAAATTTACGGATTTTCCATGTAATTTTAGATAGAGGGAAGGCATGTGATGCTCCAATTAATTGGATTTTCAATATATATGTATATATATATATATATATATTAAGCCATCTTCTCTAAGTTTACCTTTTTAAATGGTATTTTCATTAGAAGACAAAAAAAAAATATGTGGAGTAGGAATTGATGACGGCCTTGCCCTAGATTTTGCAACCAAACTCATCTGTCAGTGCCAGAAGTTACCTCTGAAATATTTAGGGTTGCCACTTGGGGCTAACACTAGAAGAAGAAAGACTTGGCAACTAGTGATAGACAAGATCAAGTCAAAATTAGTCCTATGGAAAAGAAAGTTGCTCTCAATTGCTGGTAGAGTGAACTTAATTAAATCTATTCTGTCTGACCTCCCATGTTACTATCTCTCTTTATTCAAACTTCCTGAGGGTGTGGCAAAAACCATTGTTAGATTGCAAGCTGCCTTCTTGTGGGGGAGCTCTGAGCAAAAAAAGAAAGGTGCATCTAGTTAATTGGAAATCTGTCACAGTCAGTAAGAGTCAAGGTGGATTAGGTATTGTGAATTTGAGGGAAATGAATAGCAATTTTATTGAAATGGTGATGGAGATATGGGGTAGAAGATAAGACATTATGGATACAGATTATTAATAGCAGGTACGGTGCAGTTGGTGGGGATTGGTTGCCAAACCTTGACCCTTTGGGGAAAATGCCTAATGTATGGAAAGGAATTCTATCTATGGCCGAGGATAATCCAAATCTAATGACTATCTTCTATCTAGCATAGAAATTATAGTAGGTGATGGCAGCAGAGTACACTCTTTGGTTGGATAAATGGTTGAGGAATACCAAACTTAAAGATGAGTTCCCTACGTTATTCAGTTTGTCCGTTGAGAAGGAAAAATCCTTGGATTCTTTTGTGCAAAGAAAGGAATTCTCAAGGGGTTGGAACCTGTCCTTTAGGAGGTATTTAAGGCCTCGGGAGGAAGCTGAGGTCAATAGGTTGTATGTTATGCTTTCTGAGGTACCATGCCTGAGTGCAATCCACCCTGATTCTCTTAGGTGGTAGTGGTCCTCAGCTGGGCAGTTCACTGTTGCATCAGTTAGATCATGGTTGGAAGCACACCATGGGCCTAAACTTTTGATTCCAAAATTGTTATGGGGTAATGTGGCACCTCCAAGAGTTCAATTTCTAGGTTGGCTGGTGAGGAAAGGTAGAGTTAAAACCACTAATTTTCTGTAAAGATTGGGTGTCCTTAGTAACAGTTTGAACAATGTCTACCCCTTTTGCAAAGCTGAACCTGAATCCTTGAATCACATTTTTCTAATATGCAGTGGCATATGGAAGACCTGGGCTGATTTTCTACTTTATGGGATTTTCAGTGGGCAACACTTGCCTCAATTGTTGATGTGTTGCTTTGGTGGTTGGGTACTAAATGCAAGAAGGTTCTATTGAAGCTTTTGAATTTAGTACCATTGGCTATGCTCTAGTCTATCTGGAAGCTCAGGAATGACCGCATCTTCATAGGATGCCAACTCAATCTCACAAAGGTGAGTGATGCTGTCAAATGGAGAGTTCCTTGGTGGGCCAAATTCAACCTTCCAAGCCTTTCTTACTCTGTGCAAGACATTGTCTCAAACCTTAGGCAGTTTTGTCTTTAAGCTGTTGCTCTTGTGCATCTGTGTAGTTGTCATTGCTATGGCTCTCTTTTTTTTTTTCCCTTCTTGTTGGTTCCTCACCACCAGCCGTCTGGTGTTGTCACGTGATTGTGTGTGCTTCTCAATGCCAACCTAATTCGGATTGGGTTGTTGCACTTTGATGACCTATGCACTAACTTACCCTTTATTGTTGTACTTGCCTTCCTTGTAAGGTTTCTATCATCAACAAAGTCTCTTTTGTTGATCAATATATATCTATATAATAAGACACAAAGGCTTTTGAAAAATGTATCAAAATGTATGTGAGATACATTTTGATCCAATGGCTGAGATCAATTCTAAGAATATATTAACGGTACAGATCATAATAAAGGACAAAGATTTTTGAAAATGTGAGATATATTCCCGCTCAAATATCTCTCTCCCTCAGCCTTCCACCTATCCACGTCTCTCTCTCCCTTTCTACTCTCGCCCACGTCTCTCTCCCTCAGCCTTCCACCTACCGACATCTCTCTCAGCCTTCCCTCTTTATCTCTTTCTCCCTCTCTGTTCTTCTTCTTTCCGCTTCTCCCTCTTTGTCCTTCGCCGCTGCTCATCATCACCACTCACAAGGGTTCGATTTCGCTCACTCGCAAGGTAAGACGCTGCTCATCATCACCGCTCGCAAGGTTCCCTCTCTCCTCTGTTATTGAAATATATTTTTTGCTGCCTTAGGGTAGTCGATTTCTGCTTTCGCTGCTACTCATCAACACTACTCGCAAGGGTTCGATTTCACTCGACTCGCAAGGTAAGATGTCCTCTATTTCTGTCTCTCCCCCTTTTCCCTGCTCTATTTTTTACGATTTCCCTCTCTCCTCTGTTTGATTTTTAAAATGGAAAACTATTTGTAATGGAAAAGCATCTATTGGGTTCAGATTGTAATGGAAACTTGGGTTTTATTCTATAGCAAATGTGTTCATTCAAACCTAACAGATTCATAGCAAATGTGTTCATTCAAAGTTCGATTTCTGCATCTCGATTTCTGGTTTGTATCTCTCTAATCCTAACATTATTTTCTAATCCGAACATTATTCAAAGTTTGTATTCAAAGTTTGATTTTTTTTATTATTTCCATTTATTATAATAATCCCTCTTTATCTCTTATTCAAAGTTTATACGTATTAAGTTATTGAGTGGAAGGCTGAGAGGCACGGGCACGGTTTGGATTTTGTATTGGGTGTGTGCAGATTTGGATTACACGGGTCTGTGCAGATTTGAATGATACATATTGAGTCATTTGAATGATATATATTTTGAGTTATTGAGTTATTTGGATGATATAGATGTATGGAAAAGAAATTCTGCAAATCAAAAGAAATTCTTAACTGCTGGGTTCAAAAGAAATTCTGCAAATCAGAAATTCTATAGTTATTGAATTCAAATTCAAATTCTATAGTTATATGGAAAAGTATTTTTAACTGCTGGGTTCAATGGAAAAGAAAAGTATTTTTAACTGCTGGGTTCAATTTTTAACTGAACGTAAGTGGTGCCAGCCAGGCTTTAAGTTGAAGTTGGTGCAAGGAATATCGATCAGGTTGGAAGGAACATGGGATTGAGATTGCAAGAAATTGAAAGCTATATATAGGTGTAGTTCTTGGGTTCCTTATTGTTGGGATGACCCTTAATTTGAGTGTTATTTCTTTATCCAATTCTGTAAGAAGTGTATGGACATAGAAATGCAATGAGGGTTTGTGTTTTAATTAACATCGAAGTACAGTTGGGAAATTAAAATTTCATAGATTTAGATAGTCTTTGATGTTAGAGTTCAAAGAACTTTCTCTAAGTCCTCAAACTCCATGGCCAAGGAAATTGTCTATCAGCTCTGTAACCCTTTCTGTTAGGAATGAGCTATCCATTTTCTTATTCTTTTTATTTTTTTATTTTTTTATTTTCTCTCTCTCTTTCATGTGTGAATGAGCTATCCATTTGTTTTTTCATCTGATTGTTTTATTTATTTATTTATTTTAAGTTGTTGAATGCACAACTTCTTTTTTCTTCCTATAGGTGTATAATTTTCTTCACTCATATTGATGAGTCTTCCTCGAAGTGATCGAGAAATACATTGATTTAGTCAATTGTGTAGTTTCATTTTTAAGGATTGTTACATCCTTTTTTTGTTGTCATAACTGTGACTACCAAGATAGAAGGATAATTTTCTGACGTAGTATTTACTTTTTGGATCAGCAGAAGGTGAAAAGAAACGGGTGATTACAGTTTTGAATGACGACAAGGATGCTGTGAGAGTATACAGACAGATGCTTATAGTTCGTGATTGAGGTTTTTTCATTGAACCCCGGTTTCATATTTTTGGCTTGCATTTAATTTTTCTTAATTATAATTGTATTTCATGTGCTTTTGTCTCAGACACAACCTGTATGAGCACAAGAAAATTTCACAATGTCTTCAACTTGGTGCATAAATTTTGCTTATAAATTAGCTTTATTGAGAAGGGCAAAGACAAAAAATTCTCGAGTCATACAAAGCCATATCAACCTGTAAAAGAGGTCATCAAAGAATAGACAGTATGAGCAACACTCAATGATAAGGAAACTCTCACACAAAAAAAGAAAAAATAAAAATAAATACATCAATAATGGAAAAGAAAAGTATTTTTCAAACATGACTTTAACCAATTCAGTATTATTATTTACTGTTGAAAACATGACTTTAGTATTCTCTCATTGATTCAGGTAATAAGGTGCTCATGGCTAAAACAATCAAATCCAAAATTCAAGGTGTGAGTGGCAATTTGGTTGAAATCTTCATATCAGTGGAGCTTCATTCTCAGTTAATGGAGTTGTTTTCAATTTTTAATAACTCAGGAGTTGTCTTGGGTCTTCATTCTCAGTTTTGCTAATTTTTGCTGATGTTGTGCGTTGTTTTGCTAGCGTTTTTGCTCTGGTTTTTGGGTTTTTATTTGCTCTGTTCTCTTTGATTATGCTGCTGCTGGTTTTATGAAAAAGCTACATGTTCAACTTTCAATTGGCCATTGATGGTTTAATTTAATTATGGCTATAGTCTTAAATGTTTCAAATGTTACAGCTTTTTGTTAAAGAA